CTCCACATGCAGCTGCTGGTGTGAGCTTCGGGCAGTCATAAATTCTTTCAGAGCTGTTCTCTCAAGAGCAGTCCTTGAAAGAGCTCTCTGAGCCCCACCTACTCATTCATTCATTCATTCATTCATTCTATTACGGTCAGAGACCCATAGAATAGCATACAGAACAAAAGCAAAAAGCATTACAGAGAAGAGATATCATGAGGAACATTGAGGAGGAGCTTGCGCTTTGTAAATGCAATAAAGAGAAATTTGGCAACATTCCTTGATATTGCAATGGATTTGTCCTCCAATAGATGTTTCAGCAAATGTTCCTCAGAGTGGATTACTAATTGTCCTTGGTGTCTGAATGACCTTATTATAGGTGTAATTAAAAGGGCTCTTTCTTCTGCATAGTAGGAACACTGGAATAATATATGGGAGAGGGTCTCAATTGACTCGGAGGGGCATGAGCATAATCTCAAATGCCTAGGGATGCGTTGAAATCTTCCGGCAAGAACTGCCGATGGAAAAGTGTCAAATCTAGCTCTGGAAAAAGCCCATCTATGATTTGGGTTGGGAATATTGGCTAAATATAAAGGAGCAGTCATATAAATTTTGGGTTTCAAAGATTTGTAAAGAGGCGAAAGTACAGCATAGGATGTTTGCTGCTCAATATCTCTGAGACGTTGGTGAACGATATTTTTTGCCCTATCGTATCCACTTTCCAGAAGTTGGTTCGGGTCCAATCCTAATGTTCTCAATTTGTGAATGGCTCTGGTGGACCACTGAGGATAAGGGGATGCGGCCAATAGAAAAGGAAATAACCCAACAGGAAAAAGGTGGACTTTAAGCCAAAAGCAGAGAGAATGCAACCAGATATTCAATTCGACTGTACTGAGACCAGCTTCTTGTCTCAACAAGACATTAGAGGTACATCTTGGCGTCCAAAGTGTATATGGATTCATAATAGGAGTGGAGTATCTTAATAATTTCACTGGTTTCCCGATGCAGGGTGTTATTTTTGCTTTTAATACAACTTATAAATCTTTCCGCCTGCTTCTTTTTGAGTCTCCATGAGAGTAGCCTTAAATGTTTAGAGTTATTAGTTTGATATACTTTCTTATTGTTGAAATTGTCTTTTAAAATATCAGTTGATTCCATCATTTCTAATTTTTTCTAGCATCTAGTAGTCGTTTATATACTTTTTTGCTGCATGTCTTCTTATGTTTGTCTTCTAGTTCTTTAATATTATGTATAAGTTCCGTTTTAATCTTATTTTTTTCTTTTTTACAGGCTGCCATTATGGAAATACATTGTCCCCTCATGACAGCTTTTGACGCTTCCCATATAGTCTGTGTGGACACATCTTCAGTGCAGTTTGTTTTAAAATAATTTACTAATTCGTGTCTAATTTTCTCTTGGGCCTTTGGGTCATATAATAAAAGTTTAATAAACCTCCAGCTTGGCTTGTTTATTTTTTTGTTACCAGTGCCTATTCTGCAGAATACCGGGGCATGGTCTGACCACTTTTGAATGCCAATATTCGATGAGTATATTTTATCAATCAAATTTGAGGAGGCAATCAAATAATCAATTCGTGAATATGTTTTGTACCTTGGTGAATAATAGGTATAGTCTCTTTCAGTAGTGTGTTGTAGCCTCCAAATGTCAACTAGATTGTGTTTGTCTAATAAAATTTGCAATTGACTGATATTTGATTTTGTTTTAATTTTCTTTGGTGATGATTTATCTTTGCGTGGGTCTAAGGTATAGTTTAAGTCTCCTCCTAATAAAATAGGACCTGTGTGAAATTTATTTATTTTTTCTAAGGTTTCCTGAATAAATTTGCATTGATTTGAATTTGGGCCGTATACTGAAGCAATAGTTATGGGTTGGTCATTTATCAACCCGTTTATAAAAAATAAAACGGCCATGATCATCTCTTTCACAGGATTCGACGACCATTTGTTTTGAGAGTCAGCTAACTTTTTGGCTCTCACAATTGCCTTATATTCTTTTTTCTTCTTTTGGATTTCAGCTGCTAAATTCTAATTTGGAACACTTTGAAAAGCTTTAAAAGTCCTAATTAGATCTGACTTGGCCTGCCTACATTCCTCATCAAACCAACTGTTAAGATGAGGGCTCCTTATACGGGACTTATAAACTTCTTTTGAAAAAAGAGGGATTAGTGAGGAAGTTAAATTGGTATATGTCGACAAAGGTGAAGAATCTTCCTTTGCTTGGTTTGCAAAGCTACTAAAAAGGGATTTCCCTTGTTCTGACAAGGTCCACCTTAGAAACTTATCATTTAGCTCCTCATTCCACTTGAGTTTCTGTCTACCTGTCATTGCTGCTGAAGCTAAATACGGTTCGCGACTATTAGAAGAGCCAACTAAATCCTTAGGCCACCTCAATACAAGAGGGAGGTGGTCGCTTTCAGTTCTTACATCAACTATTAGACTGCTGACTCTTATGAAAAAGTCTTGCGAAGCCAGTAAATAATCAATTGTTGTATGCTTGGTGCCAGCCCAAAACGTGAATTTCCCCGGACAATCTCCCTCTACAGCACCATTGAGGATATACAGATCAAGCTTGTGAGCCATTTGCGCAAGGCATAGCCCGGCGTAGTTTGCAATTGGATCAGCCCCACCTACTTTACAGGGTCACTGTTGTGGAAAGGGGAAGGGAAAGGGTAGTGAAGGGTGGGGTATAAATCCAATCTCTTCTTCTCCCCCCCCCCCCAAAGAAAAACTGCTCCACCCAACAGTGGGCTAGGACAACTGCCCAGGTAACTTAACTTCTTCTCTCAAATATACATCCTCTCCCTTTCCACAGCACTGGGCTCTTCTTAACAAAAGAGAGTCAACTCAAACTCCAGAAAGAAACCAAACTGCAAAAGTGAGGAGGGGAATCAAGCATGTTGAATTTTAGTCTCTCTTTAGTTCTTAAAAGCAGTTATTACCAAGTTTCTTTCCATTACCCTGAGTTTCACAGAATTTCAATCACACTATTTATCCTCATTCAAACAAAAGTAACAGAACAAACCACATATACATTTCTTCTAAAAAAGAGAAATCTCTGCGAAACAATACTTTATTCAATTTTACTTTCTACATCTAGTGACAAAATAGTTTAAATCCCACACAGGATTGCGATTTATTTTTTTGCTGTAAAGTACCATAAATGACTGTTATATAAAAGTTACTAAATTGGACTGTTATCTAGGTTTACGGTTTTTAAAAACAACGGTGCATTTTCATGCGCTTGACAAAAAGATTTTCGCACATGCTGATTTCAGAAGGGCAGCTTAATGTTATTGCGTCAGAGATATTTGCAGATAAAAGCACTGTCAAGAAAATACATCGAGATAAAAAAATTTAACCCTCCCGTTTCTTCTCATAAAATCCACTGCCGAAGGAAGGCCCATGACACACAATGATTAAATGCCCTCTAGGTAAGCATTTATAAAATGCAGCAATTCCACAAGACCACAAAGCATAAACGACTCAGGTGACTGGTTTCCCCCAGCATACACGAGCTCCTCCATAAAGAGTCATCTATAGGTATAAAAGATACATTCCTTTAAGATTCTTCTACCTTGTTGAGGGAATAATTGCAGTGTTCGTTGACAAGAAGCTGGGATCTAAATGTTACACAGCCTGCAGCCACATAAAACAGTTAGAATAGCAGAGAAGTAGACATGTTTAGAAAAAAAAATCACAAAATCTAGAGAAAGCTGTTGAACGCCCTAGGAGGGAAAGAAACCACACATGTATGCACTCACCCAGAATCAGCAAATGCTGTCCGTGTGGGGAATCAAGTACAGCAGAGCCATGGGCAGAAACCAGGTGCACAAAGCCTACCTGGAGGAGGGGGGGGCAATAGATTACATGTGGTTGGAGGCACGCATGTGGAACCACAGGCCGGGCCCCACACAGATCTTTGTGCAGCATCCTTCATTAAAGGCAAAAGCTGTGCATGCACACCAATAGGTCCACAATGCAGCATCAAGGCAATGTAACATTTGGGAATCACATATTTTTTTTTAAACTTCCACAATTTTTAAACAAAACTAAATTTACCAGCAGGCAAATTTCTTTGCACCTATCATTCCCTATACACCAATCCATGTATTTGTAGGTTCAGAACATGGAGACTTAATAGAAATGTTCATCTGTGTGCAGTCTCATCACAGTATTTGGGATTAGTAATCCACCAACAGATTTCCAATCTGTTTGCCTCAAACTGCTCTTGGCAGAAGAGTTCCTGGGAACTATTCTGGATTATATACTATGTACACTCAGGGGTCATTTCGTAGAAAAAGAGCTAGGGGAACTCATTAGCATAACTCATTAGCATATGCCACACCCCCTGACATCAGGGGCCCGGCGGTAGACCTGCAAGGCCGGCGGGAGTGCGAGGAAGCCCCGCCAAGGCCCTCCCTGGCCACAGGCAGGCAGGGGTGGGGAGAGGCGGGGGGGAAAAAAATTACCCTCCCTCTTCTCCTGCCTCCTCCTGGCTGAATGAGGGCCGGAAGCGGGGTGGCCGGAAGCAGGGGGCGGAGCTTTGTCATGTGCCCCACCCCCTGCACCTCACCCGGGGGAACTGCATTCCCCCGCGTTCCCCCCCGAAATGACCTCTGTGTACACTGCTCAAAGTGTAGCAACAGGGAAGAGCAGGATAAAGATGAAGTTATCAAGCTATGTGGTTTGAAAACTGTAAGTCTTTAAATGCTACTCATTTCATACCTCTCTGTGGCAGGAAAAACAAACAAACCTACCTGGTACATTTTTAGAAACTTTTGATGGAACTGCAAACGTTTTTCCCACTAAAAACCTGTGCTATCCACATCATGTGTTTGAGTTTAATGTAAGTAGGTGGTGCAAAGTGCCGGCAAGTTGCCGCCAATTTATGGTGATCCTTTATGGTTTTCAAGGCAAGAGATGTTCAGAGGTGGCTTGCCATTGCCTGTCTCTGCACAGCAATCCCGAACTTCCTTGGTGATCTCCCATCCAAGGACTAACCAGAGCCGACCCTGCTTAGCTTCTGAGATCTGACTAGCCTGGGCCATCCAGGTCAGGGATTAATATAAGTTAGCATCAAGCAATTAAACAACAAAAAAAGTTGCACTGATAATGAAAGGAGTGGATATTCTTTCTACAGTGAGGTTTTGTTTTTTTAAATATATATAAAACAGAGTATTGTAATTCTTTATTTTGCCCCCAAGCCTCAAAACAGAATCAAAGTGCTTATGCATTTGCTGGTACATACTTTTTTTTTTTTTTAAAGAAACTAGTAGTAGACCGAACCCAAGGACTATCAAAAGTTTCCGCAGTGTCATCCAAAATGGGGGGGGGGTGTGGAGCAACCCCAGCAGGATGGAAGACAATTGCAAAGCTCTCTCTCTATATATATACACACACATCTGCATGTTACATAAAACCAGAACACTGGCTGCAATCCTGAAAAATATTTATTAGTAGCCCCATTAACATAAAACGGGACTGAAGCAGTTGCCAGGATTGTAACCCAACAGCTGGGAGTGCCGAGGCAAAGGATCTCTCTTGTGCTGCCAACTGCAGGGTCGCTTTGGTGTTTGCGAGATCACTTTTTGAAGCAGTCCAGTGCGTCTATAATGAAAATGTTACATCAGAACTGGTTACCCATTTCCAGACATAACCCTGTGACTGATCCAGGAAAAGCTCCATGGTAACCAGTTCCAATAACCTTTCCACGCTGACATGTCCACAGAAAATGCTTCCAAGTATAACTCCGTATGCAACTAAGCGGTAGGTCAAATGCAGTTCTCAATGGGCAATTGTTAAGATCACGGACATAATTAGCTCATTTGTAGGCAGCAAACTGAAATTCTACGGTTGGCACTAAGAAAGGGGTTTCCTGCAGCGTTTACCCCTCCCCCTACATGGCTTTCACTTTGATCTGCTTCATCTTCATTTGCTTCTTCTCAAGTTTCTTCTGCTCCCGTCGCAAAGCAGCCTCCTGTTGCAAAGACAACAAAATGCGTGTTATCATCTAATTCTGCGCTTTGTTCACAGAATAAAATCAAGACACCCCCCCCCCCCCCGGAAAAAAACCCCATTGCGTAGCGTTGAAGATTCATGGAGGATAGGTCTATTGGCGGCTACTAGCCATGGTGACTGAGGGGAACCTCCACATTTAGACGCAGTCAACCTTTGAATCCCAGTGCCAGGAGGCAACATCAGGGGAAGGCCTCAGCCTCTACGCCCTGTTCTTGGCTGATTAGAGGAACTGGTTGGCCACTGTGTGAGACAGGATATTGGACTACATGGACCAATGGTTGGATCCAGCAAGGCTCTTCCTTATGTTCTTATGAGCAGATCGAAGGCCTTCCGGACAAGTACATCATCCTACGGCAGAAAATGCAATAGAGACTCAGTAGGTGTGGGTGATCCAAATGGCATTTTCTCCCCCGGCTAGTGCCCTCGCTTTAGGAAACGAGTGGAACAGTCACAAAAGGAATTTGTTTCTTCTGTTGATTAGTAGGAATGACATTCAGCGCCAGGTCAAGCCCGGCATTGTGGGGACCAAGAACGCAGGGCTAAAAATACAACTTCCACAAGAGATAGGATTCCCACTGTATCCCAGACTGGCCAAAAAAGTTACAACCCAAAATAAACTTTGCAAATGGCCAAAGCAGGGGAACACCTAATCAATATGAAGAGGAAACTATCCAGGTCACCTGCGAAAGAGCTGGCTGCTCACAGAGAACCCAGTTTTCTTGAGGATGTTATTATTATTATTTGGAAGTTGTGTTTTGGGACAGCATTCTGCCTAGCTTTCTCTACAAGAGCAGCAGAAACAAGCCAGCTCAGCTCATCGGCAGGAAGGTGTTCAATAATGGAATTTATAAGAGCAGTGCAACTTATACGGGTCCTGCCCCAGCTCCAAATACCCTGGACTCTGCAGAACGGTTAGTTTTGCCAGAAGGCAGCCTTTACACATAGGTGTCCAGTTAGAACATCTTATGAGTGGCCCAGACAAAGCTCTTCTTTCTCTCCATGGGCTAATACCCTGCCTTACACCAGTCAGTTAGGCAAGGAGTAAGTCCACCCAATGCAAGGAGTAAGCCCACTCAATTGCTCTCACAAGCAACAGTGGAAGGCATACTGGAAGCCCCGAGGTCTGCAGAGCTGCTATCGGAACGGACCCCAAATGACTGGCTTTTGGTATACCTGTACTGTAGGCATACAAAGACAAACGGGGGGTAGAAAGGAGCTGGAAACTCCCAGGGTGAGCCCCTTTCAGTCCTGCCTTCCCAGTCCCTTAAAACATTGCGGTTACACAAGTGTCATGTGACGTACTAGCTAGTTCCTCTGACATCAAGGAGAATAAGAAACACATTTCTCTTTTATAATGTCTGTGCCAATTTCAAAACATTAAAGGGCTATTTTTTTTAAAAAAAAGAATCCTTATTATTTTAACCAAATGCATGCCCCCTGTCACACTACTTATAGTAGAAGCATTCATGTTGCCTTTTTAAATTTAGAAAAGGAAAAGAAAACAGACTCTGGTTAAGTACTAGCTTCTCCCAGGTATAGCTCTGCTGCTTCTACTACATACAGAAGAGCATTATTAAATGGTACTCCATCTGTTTCAGATTGAGGAATATATTTGATTTTTTAAAATTTTATTAACAGCATTGCTTGGATTCCTTCTGGGCCCCACTCACAATACCCAGACGCAACAGAAATATTCAGACAACATATTCAACAGAAACAGTATATGAAATCAAATCACGTGACTTCCTCTGCTGCATGCACCCTCCAAAGCAGCCAGGGACCTCAGAATCTTGTCCCCCAAATCCTCCCTTGCAGCAGCGCTGCATGCAGTCACTGAACCACTGGATTCTAGATTAGGAGAAAACCCGGGTTCAAATCCTCATTTTGACATGAAACTCATTAGGCAGCCTTGGAGGAACATCTTGGAGGGACCTTCCAGGAACATCTCAAGAGGCAGGCTGCGTAATCAGTGGACACAACTCGTATTAGCAACTGGCCTCCCAAACCAAACAAACCACATCCCCAAACATTTCATTCATCTTAAGCGGTTCCAATGACGTAACAATGGCCACCCTCAAGGAACAAAAGTTGCTTGTGTGACTGAGTGACTAAACGTGACCGTTGTGACACAGAAACCATGCAACCCCATCACAGCTCTTTCTGCAAAAGAGAGACCACAATCTTGAACGGATTTGCAGTTCCCAAAGCAGTGACAAATAGAATTTAAAAAAAAATAATTAAGGGACATGGCGCAGTTACCCAGCTCCACAACATGCTCCAAAGAGCTAAAGCAGGGAGAAAAGAATGAAGTTGTTGCCCCATTGAACTCTAGCACATCATCAACTGGTTGTGCGTCAACTTCTGAGTCAACCACGGCAGGCCCTGGCAAGGGATCAGAGAGAAGTTTGGGCAACTTTCCACAAGGCCCTACAGAGGCATGGGCTCACACTCTGAAAGATCAGTGACAGCCTTCCACAGATTAATCTCTATTCCAGCATACCTCACCAGCCTTTCTTGTATTAAGTACAAGCAAATTCATCACAATCTCACAGCACAACAAAGAGCGAGCAACCAACCAAAACGTGCAGTCCTCGTTTCACCACTCCACAGAGAACTCCGAAACTGGCATGCTCCTAACCACAACAAAGATCTTTGGCACAAGCTCAACTTCCACTTAATAGCACTAGGGGCTTCTCTCGAGAGCTTATTTTACCTCCAGGCGGCGCTGCTTCTCTGGATCCTCCTCATTCATGATCCTCTCTTTCTCAGCCCGCTTCTTCTCCTCTCGGCGAGTCTGAGCTGCCTCTTGCCTTTGCACATGGGTGAGTTTCAGAAAATTCTCTTCTACACGCGCCCTGTTCTTATCTGCTTTTTGTTTACCCTTTGCCCCGCGGTGAGGAGAGAGAGACACACAAAACGAGTCACAGTTAACAGGATTAAACACTTTGTACATCGGGCAATGTTGCAATAAGATCTTCTGGATACTTTCACATGAGACAAAAACTAAGCAATGAACTGTTCCAAAATGGGCTAGATTATTATAATGCACCAGACTCCTCTCATATGCTTATGCAAGCTGCCCTTGGGGACAACACGAGCGTTTTAGTGGGCTGAGTGGATAGTGGCTGTCCTCCTAACTGCAACAGAAAACTAAAACATCATAGTCTGTGTTACAACATCTGAACTCTGAACATACCACTCTGGCCTTCCTGACAGAAGTCAAGATTGCTGGTTTCAGCTTCTAAAGCCCTACATTGCTTAATCTCTTTCTTCTCCCTGCTCACTTTCATCTTATGTGCAACCACAACCTGTAACATCAGCCTAGTGGTCCTCAACCTTCATACCTTGTCCCACAATTTCTCTATTAAAGAACCTAGGTACCACCTTGATAGGGAGGAAAAATCCACTTCTTCTGAGAAGGACATTACATGTTTACAAGCATTCTGTTATTACCACCTGCATGCTAAAAGGTCACAGATGGATAATCTGTAGCAGGTAGGGTTGGGAGGAGCGACTGTTATGAAAGCCCTCGGTCCCACCTACTCCTGCATCCCACCTAGCCCACAGTACACTACATGGTATGCTATATGCGGCCCACAATCAACTGAGGGCATACACATTCCGCACACAGCAGAAGATGGAGTTACCGTGAGAAAAGGGAAAACAGTGAAGACGGAGAAATTGCCCAGAATTTAATTATTAATCTTTTTCAAAAGGGAGCCACACATGTTAACTGACAACTTACCTCTCTGTTCAGACGGAACTTTTTTGCTTTGTCAATGGAATAAATTACCATGTTCATCAGAGGCAGCAGAGCCTCCATGTCTTTTGGGGACGTGTTGCCTGATCCAGGCACTATAAAGCAAGAGAGACATTTTCTTCAGTTTTAATGTCCAGGACAATTGGGGAGGGAGGGGGAGAGAGCTTTGTTCATTCTCTTCCAGAGAAAAAGGTGGAATGACATTCTACTTAACGGAATATTATCAATTTCAGACACACTTGAAAACCAGGGATGCTTCCTTACCATTAAAAGTAAACAATAGTGTCTTCTTGGTTTCAGGCAGTTTCAAAGGCTGACCCTCCCTAGCAGAGAACAAAAAGAGGGTTGGATGGAAGGAAGATATAAAACACACAACAAATAAAGCTTAACAGAGCAGTTGACCCAGGCAGCACCACAAGCCAACTGCAGGAGGGGGCTCCTGTTTTGGATGCATTTGCACGCATCCTGTAATAGATGAGAGCCCAGAAAAATTCAGAAGTATGGCAGGAACTTCCTGTAATGTTTAGAATGGTATGGGAGTACTTTCCTGCAGGATGTTTGTGAATACATTTCCCACAATAAACCCCAATGGGGGAGAAATGGTGGGGGGCATCTGACCCAGCAACAGCTCTCACTGTTTCCATACAACCTCTCCAGGTATCCAGAGGAAGGCATCTCAAGTACTCCTACACAAGGTACAAAGAGCAGCTCAAGAGTATCCAGGCTGCCCTTCTGCAACTGTCAAAGGTTTTGACATAGCTGTCGGCTACCCACAATGCAAGAGATATGCTACACGGGATTCTGAGCACTGGTAGTCCTCACTGAACAATCCTCGCACTGTAAACAAGCACATCCTTGTTTTTACAGCTCAAAAGTATCTGGGCAATTACTAGGCCAGATCCCCACTGCTACTGCCTATCCTGCTTCCAGCAGCGAGATCAGGGAACGGCAGTAAAAGGCAGGCAAATTGCTGGGTCCTACCTCCTGCAACACTGCCTGGAAGTAACTGCTAGGAAAGCAAAGGGACTGTGATTCTCTGCCAGGCGGTCTTGTTTAAGCACATCAGTTCTCTCATTCCATAGGAGCTTTCTCAAAGCAAATACAGAGCTGAGCCTTGCCCTTACTTAAATAAACCCCGTTACCGGTCACATGGGCATTGCCCAGCTCCCTGGAATCCTGGATAAACAAACGGACGGCACCCCATGCATAAATTCATAAACCTAGTATTTCTTGCAGCATACTCACTCTTGCATAAGTTTTGGACCAGAAAACTGATCCGAAAAATGGACGGACTCGATCTTGTCAGCGTAGTGCGTGAGGAAATGGATCATCTACAAGAAAAATGAAGACTTCAGCATATTAGGGAAGCAAGACCTTTTAATGGCCACTATCCACAGCATCGGAAACTAGCCTTTACCCACTAACTATGGTTAAGCGTTGCAATCAAAAGAAGAGCAGCCACACTGCAGCATCAGAGCAAGGGCCATCGTCCCTCCATCCCCAGCCCCTGCTCTTCAGAATCATGCTGCCTATGGACTCGGAGGTTCCATCCAGCTATACATGCCCTGTAGCTTTAAAACAGGTTAGGTAAATTTATGGAGAAAAACAGTCTCAAAGGTTATCTGGACTAATGGCCATCACCAAATCTTGTGTCAATTAATCCCCTAAATCAACTAACATATATTGAGATAGTTCATGCTCTCTTTCGATAACTGGGCATGGGCAAAAGAAAATGAGAGCATGCAGTTTATCCATCATCATCACTATGCAAAGGCTAGAACACCTCTGATTTACCAGGTGTTGTAGGACAAACCACAGGAGATGGTCATGGCCATCATATGCCATGTTGGTGAGCTTCCCTGGAACTTCTGACCAGCTACTGTCCTGAGACAGTACAGGGCTACGTGGCACTTTGGCTTGATCTAGAATGTTACATGTTCATGTTTTATTCAATGAGTTTTACTGGTGAGTAGTCTGAAACCCAAGGATATCAAAGTCCATCATACTGAACATCAAATTGTAATTTTCAGGCGCTTCATTGTAAAAAAAAGAAAAAGAAAAAGACAAGAGTGGCTCATAATTCTTTCATCCCCATCATAGCAATGTTGGGACACATACACAGCTGTAAGTTACTTGCCTGCTCAAAGCCACCCTAGTAAATTTCGATCCAAGGAGGATTTGGAACCCAAGTACCTTAAGTCTACATTCAGCACTCTGCCCACTACAACATGCCAACACAAATTATCAGCAGCTGCAAGACTCCACCCAAATCCCCTGGGAACTTTAGCTATGAGTTTCAAAGCTGAATGTCCCGTTTTCCCCCCAAGCTGTTTGAGACAGAAGGATCCAAGACAAACAAGGCTGTTCTTGGTCAAACATCACAGATGAGGGCCTCAGAATGCAAAGTGATATTTTGACATTTGGCTGCCCTGTTACAACTCTCGCGGGATTCCACACCAAGTACAATATGCATGTTTTTTTTAAATTAACAGTTATTTGATATTACCTTAGTATCCATAATTCCCTCTGTGACCTCACCCATCTCTGACAGGATAGCTAATGACTCTGGGAGTCCATACTTCGCCCCAGTCTTGGGTTTATCGCTGCAGAATTCGCTCTGTTGGGAAGACATTGCTGCATTACAACCTGATTCCATACCTGCCGACCCTTGCATGCAAGCAGGTGCCTAAAAAATCATGGACACGCATGTCAGTTCTCATCAGGAAAAACTGAAGATAAGCCTGCCATGCATTTCCTGGCTAACTGGTGCATGACTGAAAGCCACTGATATCTGCATTTACACTGTGGCTTTTTTTTTAAAAAGCATAACTTCTTACAGTGCTCTTGTCATTTCCCTCCATCTTATCATACCTTCAAGCTAGATGCATCAGAGACGCAAGTGGCTCATAACATGTGTCTGCTTAACCTCTCATGGCTACAAGGTTCAGCTTCAGAGAGAGTGCATGCCAATGTTACTATAGGATTTAAATGATATTTTACACTGATCTATTGAAAACACCAGGGTAGGTTACAGTATTTTGAGGCAGGGGAAATAAGTACACACGCACACACACCACAGAGAAAAAGCTTCAGTATGGGTATCCCAGTGCTTTCAGCTGCTATTAAACACCAGTCCTTTGGTTAATAACATCTGAGCTGAACAGTACGGCTGTCAGTTCTAGCCCCGTGTTGGTGTGAGCTACCAGCCTTGTCCCTAGCTCGCCGTCCACCCAGCGGTTCAAAAGCTTCGGCGAGTAGATAAAATAGGTACCACTCCTTAGAGAGGGTGGGGGAGGTGTTAGCCGACACCAAAGATCCCCCAGTGGGGGAGGTGCTAGCCGAGGACAGGAATGCTCAGCTCATGAGATTGAAAGCCTAAAGAAAAAAATCTCTTCGACTCTGAGAAGCCTGTAATGGGCTGTTCCGGCTAGGCGGTGGCAGTGTGGCGCTGCAAGACCTGGAGAAGCTGACTTCATCTAGCCAAGCTGAAGTGAATATGCCGAAGGGATACGTCTGACCCTGCAGCTGAGCAAACCCTCGCCAACTGTGGATGTGTGTGATTTAAAAGATATATGTTGTCCTCCCTTACCCCCATAAATCACTGTTAGTCCCGCATGAATGAGTAACTGTAAATCGCTCAGAGCCAGCAAGCTCTGCAGGATTGAGCGATTAATAAATTGAAAGATTTATTACTATTACTATTATTATTATTATTATTATTCTCATGGGAAAGGGAAGAGTAGTTATGTGACCCCAGAACAATAAATCATTCACAAAGTTACTTCGACAAATTATTACTGACTGTGGCCTATACTACTGTGTACAGTTTGCTGTAAGCTGGACCCTGCTATGTAATTTTGCATCATTTAATGTGTCATGTTATCCATTTTGTATTTCTTCAGTCCTGTTTTTTTAAATTTTTGATTGGTTCTACAACCCAAATACTATTTTATTGTTTATTTGAATGTCCCACCCTGTTAATTGTATTAATTCACTCTGTGCGATCCACCTTGAGTCCCAGTGACAAAGGTGGACTATAAGTAACATAGTTACTCGCCTCACTTCACCACTTCTCACCCAAAGGAACTGTATTTGAACCAACCAATCCACCCTGCTCCAAGTTCTCTTTATATGCACAGTGTGGTGTTTTGCCCACAATGCTCCGGCCTTCTCCATTCTCACAGCAAAACAGGAGAGAACTTTGAAGCAGCCACTACTCCTGAGGCACCATACCCAATACACCAGCAGCGAATCCAGTACATTTTTATCGTGTCGTCCCTCCACAGAGTTCAGAGCGGTGTAAAGAAAGAAGCAGAAGAATCAGCCTCCCAGGGCCCCTCTCCCATGGTATCCTCACAACAACCCGTCAAGTAAGGCTGAGAGAAAAGTCACACAGTGAATTCATTCTGTGACTGACTGGGAATCTGAACCCAGATTTCACTAATCTAACTACACCACATCACGCTCGTTATGGAAGAGGGCCACATATGCTCTGTGCACAGAAACTACTCCAATAGACAACACTTGTTAACATGTGAGATTCTGTGGACCACTTGCAGTGCCATACATACCAAGTCCTGCATCTCCTTCTGAAGCCGCACCAAGGCTTTCCTTGTCCCAACAGCAAACACATAGGTGTCCATATCTTCGTCATTCATCGTAACCTTTATTTGCTGGACGACAGAAATAAGCATAGATTGGCAAAACAGACTAATTCATCCAGAAAACAGACTAATTCACCCATGTCACAGCCAAGAGATAAACAAGCTCTGCCACCACAGGCAGCCATACAGCCAATATCAGGGTGGGATTAGAGGGAACCACAGGATAAAATTATTCTGACACCCCCCAAAAAATATATAGTGACCAAACGGGACATTATAGAGCAATGCCTGGAGAGCAGCCAATACGCCCCCCCCCCCTTTAGCAGCAGCACACACACCACAATCGGAGCAATCTGATGTACAGCCACCATAGAATGGCGCTGTTCAAACTGTAATAGAGTTAACTGAACCGCACTGAAGGACATAGTTATTTCTTTAGCCCCCATCAAGCAGGTGAAGTATTGCTTCATTTAACACCGTTGTCAAGAACAGTCTCGTTAAAGTAGCAGCAACCCTGAAGGAACCCCTAAAATGCCAGAAAAAATGGAAGAAATTGACAGTGCAATCTTCCTTCAAACATCTACAGCTATTTAGTCAGTGAACCAAAAGATGCAGCTTGAGCCACTCTGCACAATTTCAGTCTAGAAGGGAACAACAGAGAACAATGTTCGCCGTGACAGGCTTGCGGCTGATGCCCACTCCCCTCCCCTGCATACAGTGAGAAAGCCTTGATCATGTTACACCAAGAAAAGCAGGATTTCTGCAAGCTAAGTTTAGGCAAGCATGCACTCAAGGATACTTGACAAATTCTGGTTCTAACCCATTATTCTCCTGTCTCAGAGTCCTTCTGAAATTTCACTAGGTGTCGCCCACTCTCTTCATGGCCATTTGAATTCATTCTTAGTTCAGTCAGGGATACCCAAGAACATATCCAGCTTTTGCCTATAAGTCACTGCCAGACACATCTCACCAGGCTAAAGGAGTCATGAGCTTAACCCACCCAAAGCTGCTCTTAGGCTGCAGAACTGAACACCTACCACTTGGTCACAGGTTGGTCTCATCATGCGAGCAAGCACATTCAGCAGGTCTTGCCTCTTGAGAAACTGAAAGAAAGCATTTGGGGCCACAGTTAAGTAAGAGAGTTAGCATGACTTCCCATGTTTCCAAAGGCCCAATGATTTTTTTTTAAAGTATGTTTATTGATTTTTTGACATTGAGTTCACATATTGTAACATCAAATCTCTATAGCTTGGGTCCACTAAACAATATTTTCTACCCATTCTTTTTACTCTAGACCATTTGTTAGTTACGACCTTATCTTCAATCCCATGCACATGTGCATGTATCGTGTCCATTTCCGCGGCGTCCAACAATTTAAATGCTATTTCTCCCCGAGTGGGTATTCTATCCGACTTCCAGTATTTGGCTAACAAAATTCTAGCCAATGATTTTTTTTTAAGTATTACACCCAATGATTTTTTTTTAAGTATGTTTATTGATTTTTTGACATTTGGTTCACATATTGTAACATCAAATCTCTATAGCTTGGGTCCACTAAACCATATTTTCTACCCATTTTTTTACTCTAGACCATTTGTTAGTTACGACCTTATCTTCAATCCCATGCAATTGTGCAAGTATCATGTCCGTTTCCGGGGCTTCCAACAATTTAAATGCTATTTCTCCCCGAGTGGGTATTCTATCCGACTTCCAGTATTTTGCTAACAAAATTCTAGCAATAGTTAAGACATGCAACAGAATATATACCTCCCGGTGCGATACTTGATCCCCTGCTATTATATTTAGTAGATATACCCCTGGATTAAGTACTAAATTTACACCAAGAATTTCCTTAATTATATTTTGCACCATCCTCCAGTAGCTTTGTATTTTTCGGCATCTCCACCACATATGAAGCATCAGGACAGAGTTTGGGGAGAGGAAGGAGCTCAAATGAGATGTGATTCCACAATGTCCATCCTCCAAAGGTGCCCTTCCTCCTCTGTAGTCTGGAAATTAATTGTAACTCCAGGAGAACACCATGACCGCCTGGAGGTTAGGTAACCCTAGATGGAACTTGAAATAGCCAGCAAAACCCTGCCTGGGAGTTTTGGTGCAGTCGTTTCACATATTATGACTCCGTTCTTCCTCCCATGGGAGAGAAGAGGGTGATTAGAGTTGAGCACCCATCTTGCTAGGACCCAGATCCCATCTTCCCAAAGTGGGGGAGAAGAATGATCCTGCAGAAAACAATGGGATAGGGGTCCTTCCTTCTCTCTCTCCTCCCATTGAAATGGGGGCCTGAACTGGCTGTTCCTCAGCCTGCTTCAGAACAGCTTACATCTAGTTCTGTTTCCTTGCTCTAGTCCCCCAATCAAGCCTTGGAAACAGCCAACCCTCTCCTGCTTTTCTGTACAATGAGAAAAAAACCCACTGCCATTGCATGCAGGGTACAATGAATCAGAAAGTCTCCTCTTCCTCGCCTGTAACACCCAGTCATTAATCCAGGACTACAAGATATATACAGGTATGAAGCGGAGACTCTTCTGCACTGGGGTTCTGCCATTCTAGAAAAAAAGAATGTTACCCGGAAAAATATTCATCTATTTAAAGAGTTACATGATGTTTGAAGATGCTCTTTCTTCTTACCTTAAGCTGGATAAGCATGCCCTCACAGCACACCCGACCAGAGCACCAGAGGTTGTAGATATGCTCGTTCTCTTGGTTCAGCTTGCCTGTGCTCGTGGCATCTTTATTCGTGCCATCATCGCCTTGAATGAAAGCACATGCTAATTAATGGGAGCCTGCCATAGGGTGCTTGCCCTGGTCCTGCAGAGGACGGGTGTGTTGCCGGCTGGCCTTTGCATGCTCCTTCCAACACAGATCCAGGATGGGAGCTTGAGCTGGAACATTCAGAGCCAGGTGGTTTTTTCCCCGGGGTACTAATCTCAGGTGTCCCCCACCCCCTTTTTAGGAAGCAAAACTTTGCCACATGTCACAAACTGCAATTCACAACTATGTTCAAAACTATATATTCTATTCCTTGAAATACAAAGATGAGTTAGTGGTCACAACCCAATAGAGTATATAGACATAGATCCAACAGATTGCTCATAACAATTAAACATAGTTTAAACAAAGAACATATTCAAAACAGTAGGCTCTTCTTCTGTAATTCCATACATAGTGTCCATAGACCTCCAAACAGAAAGTAACTGCAACAGAAGACTCCCACTGTGGAAAGAATAACAGCTGAACATCTCTCCCAGGTATAAATCAAGACGTTTCAATTATCTTCAACAGTGGTTGGTAAGATGGAACCCAATTTCCAAAATAACACAGACACAGCTCAAAAGCTTCAATGGAATCCTATTCTTTCCACAGTGGGAGTCTTCTGTTGCAGTTACTTTCTGTTTGGAGGTCTATGGACACTATTACAGAAGAGCCTACTGTTGGTTTTGAATACGTTCTTTGTTTAAACTATGTTTAATTGTTATGAGCAATCTGTTGGACCAATGTCTATATACTCTATTGCAGGGGTCCTCAAACTGCGGCCCGCGGGCCCCATGCAGCCTGCCGAAAACATTTATCTGGCCCGCCGGGTGTTTTTGCCGCCACCGCCTGTCCTGCTTAGCAGCCGACTCGTCTCCTACAAGACCGCTCCCTCGAAGCGTGTACTGCACGCCAGCATCGAAACTTAGCACAGAAAGGGTTTACCTGTAACCCCTGCCGAGGAGGAACGGATGGTCGCCCTGCCCGGTCGAGCCCCTGAAAATAAGTTGGCCAGGAGTTTACCTAACGGAAGCATTCCGAGCCACAGTTCGTTCTAGCAATGAAGTCACCCCACTATTTTTTCCATGTTGCCAGCGGCTTCGGATTTCACCCGTGTAAACAAGGCACGCGGCGCTCAGGGAACGACAGGGGCATGCCACGGAGGGGGCGGGGGTTGTCGGAGCAAAGAGAAAGGCGCGTTTCCCAGGAGGTCAGAGAGAGTTGGGGAGCAAAGGGAGATGGGATGGGCGGCGAGAGAAGGTTGGCAGAGCTGAAAGCTACCTGGCGAGCAACGGCTTCATGTAGCGGAGGCAAAGAAGTGGCAGGAGCCAGGCAACCGGTGTCAAAGCAGCGTCTGAAGCGGACCCAGGGAGTGCGCCCAACCCGCCCTGCCTGCGAGAGGCGGCTCCGCCGGCTCAGCCAAGAACATGCAACCCCGGGGTCCACGCTTTCTAGAACAGCCCTGGCATGTCCAGCCGGAGTTCCGGAGCCTCCTCCCCCTTTTGCTAATGTGCTTGGCGTTCTCCGCTCCAATTGAGCTGCTGCCACGTCGGAAGCTCCTCCTCCCCCAGCAAAGCCCTCCGAGGCTTCCAGACACTACTGTAATGCTTAGAATAGCTGGGGGGGGGGGGGGGCCC